GGCTGGGGAGAAAGGCAATGCTGCTGCTATTCCCTCATTAAGATGTATAATTACTGAGGGAGAGGTAATACTGCACTTCAAGCAGGAAGGTGTTAGACAAATGCTTTGGGTTGTCATTCTGATGGCAGTTCTTGTGGAGATAAGTCACTTCTGGCTGTCAGCCCTCTCCGGTTGCGTGCTGGGATGGAGTTAATGGGCACATGTCTTCCTTGGGCTAACTGGGTGGCAGAAAGTCTGTGCTCAGTACTCTGATATCTGTGCTTGGCTAGCAAACTGTAAATATTTATATTGTTGTTTTGGTTCTGCTTAAATGTGTGACTGAAAGGATGATCATCAAAGGAGACTGAGTTTGGCATGCCTTGACCAAGAGGTTTTTAATGGATGCTGGAGGCAGAACTGCTCCGGCTGGGTCAGTTGTGTCTGATGTAGCAGGGCTTACCTGGCTGTTTCCTGATAACCTCCTGCTTCTTACAGCTTTTATCACAGCTTTCACCATCAGCAGAAACCACAGCCAGCTGCAGTGGCTGACACACCAGGAGTGCTTATCGAGGGCCATTGTGCTTTTATCCAGATCTTCAATAATACATGGCATTGATTTTTGCTGTGTTGAATACTATATGGTGTTTACATTCTCCAGAATAATTCAGCAGGGTAAACAGATAGTATTCTTTGGAAGTAAAGTCAATATTAACAGCGTTCAGGATAGTATTTGCTGTCTATCTTTGATGGAAAGCAAGCTTTCTCTTGCCTGTGTTTAGAAGGGGCTATAATATCTGCAGAGTATTATTCTCTCAGAGTGCTAGTCCGATATCACATCCCCAGGGGCTGGTTTGGGATCCAGGATATTGTCTATCAGCACTTTTTGCAGGCAGTAAATTTTGCATCTGCAAGTGCCTTTGGCTGTTTTCTGGGACTGTGGCCATTCACAGCTTCAGTTCAAAGGTGGGAAGCCTTCCATTATTTATCCAGTTGACCTTCTGGGGCCATTTGTAGGTGTATTTATGCAGAGTATCTACTGGAATTGCCTTTTGTAGGGTAAACTGAAAATGCTAATGGAAATTTTGTGGTGAAGGTTGCACATGGCCCCTGTGGTATGCTGCTTCCCATCAACTTTGTGGCAAGTGGAGCTGGCAGGGCACTGCAAACTTGAGTAGCCTCCGACCTATCTGAACACCTCCCTGTTGCAGACATGCTGATGTGAACGTGTATTGAAATCTGCCCATGGGCTGGGAGGGTAAAAGCTGCACCTGCAACTTTACACACAGGTTTTGTGCTGGTGATGTTTCATCCTGCACGTGCTGTTTTGAATAACTGTAGCTTAGGAAGTTGCTACATGGTGGTGCCCTTTGGAGCACTGAGTAAAATGGTCCTTCATCCACTTCTTGCTGGGTGGACCTGCAGTTGTGCTGCCAAAGGGCTGCTGCACTCCAGGGGATGTTGAATCACAGAATAGTATAGGTTGGAAGGGACCTTAAAGCTCATCTAGTTCCAACCCCCCTGCCATCAGCAGGGACACCTTCCACTAGACCAGGTTGCTCGAAGCCTCATCCAACCTGGCCTTGAACACTTCCAGGGAGGAGCAGCCACAGCTTCTCTGGGTAACCTGGGACACTGTCTGACCACCCTCACAGTGAAGAATTTCTTCCTCAGATCTCATCTAAACCTCCCCTCTTCCAGTTTATAACCATTGACCCTTGTTCTGTCACTCCCTGCCCTTGTCCAAAGTCCCTCCCTGCCCTTCCTGGAGCCCCTTCAGGTACTGGGAGGCCACTAGAAGGTCTCCCTGGAGCCTTCTCTTTTCCAGGCTGAACAGCCCCAACTCTCTCAGCCTGTCCTCATAGCAGAGCTGCTCCAGTCCTTTGATCATCCTGGTGGCCTCCTCTGGACTCGCTCCAGTAGGTCTGTATCCTTCTTATGGTGGGGGCCCCAGAACTGGAGACAAGAAGACTTGGTCTTCTTGAAGACTTGATCTTTTTTCCCCTCTTAGAGAGGTTGGATTTACCAGGTATCCAGAGTGCTTCTCTCAACCTGAGACTGTCCCTCTCTAATGGGTTTTTTTTTGGTGGTTTCTAGCACATCATTAAACAAAGAAAAAACACATGATGAAACAGTTCCTGATTAAATAAACCCTGACATCATCATACATATGCACAGCTATGTATTGCTCCTGAAAAACCATCAGGCCGGGAGTAGCTGAAGCCTCTGGGTAGAATATGAATGCCTTGATTTTCTAGCCCCCTGAGCAGCGGTGAAGAGGGCCACTAGGACCAGCCAGTGGAGATCGAGATATAATTGCTTGCCTAGAGCAGTAACATATTTCTGTACACCAGCTGAATACCAATGAGGACAGAAGGAAGGAAGGTATCAAACAGAATTGCAGGCAGGAGGAAAAGGAGGATAAGTGATGAAAGGAAAGGACACAAAGGCTGAAGACAATAAGCTAGTTCTGATTAGAGCATTTTACCAGAGTGTGATTTGGGTTTTTAATGAATTTTTTTCAGGAGCTGAATGCATTACTGAGCTGGTCAGTGAGGGCGTGAGCAGGAGTGGAGGGCATGCAGCGTGACCCCAGGTACCACCCTCTGCAAAGACAGGAGCAGGGGAAGGGAGCTGGGACCAGGATAACCTAACTAGAAGCAAGCACATCCTTTTGAGGTTGATGAGGTTAATGCCACCAGATTTATTACTTGAGCCTTTTTCTTCCCAGTACTCCTTCTTTCTGTAATTATGCACGATAACCTTTAAGGAAATTTAGGATTAAGGAGCATGAACCTTTGAAATTGCCTTCCTTATGTAATTGCCAACTTTGGATACAGTTTTGTTAGTCCCTTATGCAGTTTGAGATGATCGTCTGAGGCCAGACCATCCCCTCCATGACCGGAGAACTCCAAAGGAGCATCCATCAATGTCCCTTTGCTGCTCCTCAGCCCTGCACCTGCAGGGCATGGCTGGTGCCAGGGACGTGGCCAAAGGCATGGCAGTGGATGGTACTGTCTGTGCTGCCCTCTCCACGTCTGCTCCGTGAAGATGTAGAGTAAGACTCCGTTTATTTGTGTTCTGTCCTTAAAAGGAAAAAAAAAAAAGCTGTATGTATGACCTGACCTTCAAACTTAAGCTTGATGGGGAGCATGCAGCCTCACAGAGTAGTTTGGAGCATTTTAGATGCTTTGAAAGCACTTAACCTATAAACTACCTCTAAATTGTTGTTTAGGATCTGGTAGTGGGAACTAAACATGGAGATCTAATGAGCTAAAAATAATGTTGGACAGAACAGGCTTAGTGTCTCTGAGTCACTGACTGTCAGCATCTGCCTTTTCTTCCTGAAATAATGTAGTGGAGGAGCTAATGGGGGGAGAATGAGATCTTGCAGTAAAGCCCTAATTGCTAAGCTCCAAAAACCTCACCTGTGTCCTGTGTTGTGAGCAGCTGCACTTGGAAAATGGATGGGAGAGGTGGGTGTCAGAGCCCGTATCCTGCAGGACTTCTCTGCCTGCTCCCGAGTGACGTCAGTCATGGCTCTCTGCAGCGGCAGCGGTGGGTGATGCGATGCTGAACCTGTCCCTGAGTAAAGCTGAGCCTTGTGAGGATGCAGCTTGCTGCTCTGAAAGGCTTCCAGCCTTGCACAGAAGCAGGGATGCTGGTCAAACCTGCGAGCCTGCAGCAGATCTCGGGTCCTTTTCCTCCACTGATGTGAAGCTTCACTACAGACAGGCTTTGCTGCAGAAGTGGCTTTAATAGGTTTGCTTGAGGGGGTGTGTTTTGAAAGGAGAATGAGTGTGTGTGTCTGACCTATATCCTGCACATCATGTCCAGGAAGCCTGAGAGGTGTAATGGGAGGAATGTGCTCTTACACAATGCCTCTCATTTTCACCTCCATTAATTTTATCAGCTTGCTGCATTATGTTTATATTGTAATCATTAGAAACACGACGGGAAGGAGAGAGCAAATTGCCCTGTTGCTCCCTCTGTGGTCAGCTTCAGGGATTCTGTTGGTTTAAAGGCACATATATGGAAAACTGTGCTGTTATTTAGCGTGGCATCAGGTTTGGACTGAAAACGTTATGGTTTTTTTGTGCTAGAAGTGTTATTGGCTTTGCTAGAAAGAATCAGGGAATGAGCAATTGCAGTGGTTGCACAGAAAGGAAAGACTCCTGACAGCAGCGAGGTGCAAAGTGTCTCAGCCTTGCAAAGCATCATAACCTGTTTTATTTTTATGAACTTTATTGCTAATTAAAAGCAAACAGAATTATCAGATCTGTTTGTTTTTTTCCTCAGCTGACTGATGTAGGGAAATTTAGCTGAATTGAGAAAGCTTCGTAACCTTTTCAGGGGGAGAATGGGAAACTTAGCTGCAAAAACATATCATATCCACACATGAGCAGACTTTGGGTCCACAGTCCTGCGTTTCACAAAGAGGAGCTCTGTATGGGCATTTAAAACTCCATACTGAGCCTCCCTCAGGATTTATACATCCATGTTAATCTATTGCCTTCTTTTTTGCTTATTTTCCAGTGCCACCACAAACTCTGTAATGACTAGTGGAAATTCCTGTGCAGCCCATTCTCTTTCAGGTTTTTAGTGCACTAATTCCCAGTTGTTTATATTTAGAAAAACTAAAATACTCTCTTACAAACCCCTCCTAACTGAGCACTCGTTGCTTTTTCCTTTGTACAGGCCTGTGTCCTTTGTGAAATGCAGCCCTCAGCTTCCACCTGCTGTTCAGAGCTAGAATGACAGGTCTACCCCAAGTTTCAAGAAAATAAAAATTAGTGCAAATTTCAGTCCCAAGTGCAAAACATTGAACGAGATTAAAGTGGAATTTAAATAACAACATACAGCTAATCGTGGTCAAGCTTTGTTTCAAAATAACTAGCCTGATTTTCCCAGACCTTGAATAAAAGGGGTGTTATTTCCACTGCTCAAATCAGCCAATTTGTAGCTGTTTGAAGAAGCAATCTGCTTTAAGTTGTACATGAGTATGTTGTTCTTCTCTTTTCCAGCTAAAAACCACAGTGACACCCAAGTGTTCTTCTACCTGTGGATTATCTTCTATTTCATCAGCTCTTGCTATACCCTTATTTGGGACCTGAAGATGGATTGGGGTCTCTTTGACAAAAATGCTGGTGAAAATACCTTTCTTCGAGAAGGAATCGTCTACCCACAGAAAGTGTGTATACAGCCCGCTCTTCTGTCTGAGAAGACTTTTAGTATTTGAACAAAACCTGTTGAGTTTAGAGCATGTTGCAGTTGGCCACTGGTGCTTCCTGGACGCTGTGTGCTGGGATTTTCTAGCAGTAGAGTTTGTTTGAAAGAGGTTATTTCATATTGATCAGTTTTCTAGTGGTTGAGCAGCAAATTCTGTGTCTTCCTGAAGGCGTGGAGAAGTCTGTCTTCTGTGCAGAACATGTACAATGAGCTGTCATAGAATCACAGACTGGTTTGGGTTGGAAGGGCCCTTAAAGCTCATCCAGTTCCAACCCCCGTGCCATTAGCAGGGACACCTTCCACTAGACCAGGTTGCTCAAAGCCTCATCCAACCTGGCCTTGAACACTTCCAGGGAGGAGCAGCCACAGCTTCTCTGGGCAACCTGGGACAGTGTCTCACCACCCTCACAGTGAAGAACTTCTTCCTAATATCTAATTTAAACCTCCCCTCTTTCAGCTTAAACCCATTTCCCCTTGTTTTGTCATTAACTGCCCTTATGAAAAGTCCCTCCCCAGCTTTCTTGTAGGCCCCCTTCAGGTATTGGAAGGCCGCTATAAGATCTGTCCTGTTTGTCTGTCTTGTTCTTCAGGCATACTATTATTGTGCCATTGTAGAAGACGTGATCCTGCGTTTCGCGTGGACCATCCAGATCTCCCTCACTTCCATGCAAATCTTCCCGTACGCTGGGGACATCATTTCTACTGTATTTGCCCCACTTGAAGTATTCCGGTAAGGCTGCTCGACTGAACACTTCATTTCTCTTTTACATTCTTATTACATGTAGAACATCAGCATGATGGGAAATGCCTTGCTCCTTGGACGTGGAAGGTATTGGTCCTTGAAATGGAAGATTAGATCTAACCAGAACATTTAATCCAAACAGGGTGCTGAGTGAAGAAAGCTGTAGAGGGCTCTGCAGCACTACAGGGCTGGGTCCTTCGTGCTGCATTTGCAGTTTCCTCTGAACCTAGGCCTAATCTTTAGTAAAAACCAAAACCCTCAGTTTCTCCTTAAAATTACCTTGTTGCAATTTCCAGATGAAATTTCAGTTGCTTTTCAGGTTTACAATTATTCTTATATCTCTGCTGCTTTTCCAAATGCTAATTTGGATTCTACATCATCAGTTTGGATCCTGCAAGGTTTCATGGCTCTTTACATACTTGTACTCTAGCTGGAACCTCACCCCCACAGCTTCTTGAGAGGAGTAAAAGCCCTTGAAGCTGAACCTTCTAAAAAAATGTACATAGTGGAGGTTGCCTTTTGCTTGGGATGCCTGCTGCCTTCATGCTGTCCAAATTAGGATTGTTGTTGGTAGGACAATGAATGTTCTTCTTCAGAGAGCTGGGAAGATGTAGCAAGTGCTGCTGTTAGTCATGGGCTGTTTCTCTGTACTCCCAGTGTGTTCCCAGAGGCACTTTGATCAGTGAGGACAGTCAGTGGTATCTAGGTGCATGTACCACCAGTGCTTCACCAAACACAGGCAATACACGTAAAAGTGGAACCAAATTGGTAATTTTCACTTTTTTCTCCACTCAGGCGGTTTGTGTGGAACTTCTTCCGTCTGGAGAACGAGCACCTGAACAACTGTGGTGAGTTCCGTGCCGTGAGGGACATCTCGGTGGCACCGCTCAACGCCGATGACCTGACGCTCTTGGATCAGATGATGGACCAGGAAGATGGCGTACGGAACCGCCGCAAGAACAAACAGTGGAAGCGCAGCCAGAGCGTGTCCTTGCGCAGACCTCGTCTTGCTTCACAGTAGGTTTTGCTTCCCCTCTAGCCCAACAAACTAAATCGTGTGTTAGAGCTGTTGTTAATGCTGGGTGGCCATTTATGGACTTGGTAATCACACAAAGATCTCAGCCAAAATAGTCATTCAAAGGGAGGACAGATCCAATTAGTAAATGAATGTTTCTCTGCTGAAGGGTTGATCCATCTTTTACATCATCTTGGGGTTCTGGTAAACCACTGGAAAAGGGAGTTCCCTTTACAAAACTCCCCTCCTGCAAAAAATAGCCTGTAGCAGTTGCCAAAGGTTGTAAATCCAAACCTGGAGGAGAGGTTCCCATCAACCAGCCGTTTCCAGACTTCAGACCACTCCAAGATTTCAGTTATCGTTTGGTTCAGATTTCCTGTGTGAGATCTCAGACCCTTTCCTCTCCCAGATCTAAACCCATGCAATTTTTCTCCCCAGCCTAGACATTTCCCCACCTTGCACCCCAGCCCCTGAACCTGTTGACTAAATCTTCACTGCAGTGCCCGTGCTCTGGGCATCACAGGGTGCTGCAGTGTCCCACATCACTTCTGGCCCAGCAGCACAGCTGTGGAGCCCTGCCCTTTGGCCAAGAGGCAAGCTTGGGCTCCCCTGGGAAGCACAGCGTGGCAGGAGTGTTGTGCAATCCCTGCAGCACATCATCCCCCTGTTGCATCAGTGCGTGGGAGGAGTGGATGGGGGGAAAAGGAGTCTGTGGCTGTCACACAAAGGGTGTGCTCTGACCAGAGCCGCAGCCCTTGGGCCATGCTTGTCTCATGTCTGTGTTGGCTCAGAGTACATGGATGTGACCAATACAAACAACCTTCGTGTGGGTGCTGCAGACTCAAAAACTTCATGCAGAGGGGATGTGGGCCAAAGCCTGGTCAGGTTCCCTACAGCCACATCTGTTTACCCCTCCGACATGCAGCAAACTGGTACCTGTCAAGCATGCTCCAGAAGAAGCTGCTGTGCCTTTGTGCAGGTCGAGCAGGAACACTCCTCTGGATTTGCAGCACGTGCTGCACAGGTTCTGTGGAGCTTTGTGTGGAGGGGTGGATGGATGGTGGATGGATGCGCAGCACCCAGCCGTGCCACGGCGTCCCCTGCTGTTTGTTGGCACAGCCTGGCAGAGGACATTGTCCGTGCCCAGAAGGTGGCTGGCATGTGCAGAGCCACGGGAGGAGGCTGCTGAGGGACAGCTGGGACATATTTACAATGCTCTGCTATTCCCAGTGAGAGTGGGAGAGTATAAAACAATTCCAGAGGAGGAAAACAATTCCTCTCTGTGGAAGAAAGCTTTCCAAGTGCACTGCGGTTTGATTGTCTGTGTGTAGTTACGGGAATTTCTTCTCCCCAGTAAGTGTTTTCTGTTTGTTTTTTCCCCAGGTCCAAGGCTTCTGACACTAAGGTATTAATAGAGGACCTAGCGAATGAAGTGAACACATGAGATGGCCACGGTCTCTTATTCCACATCCTTTGTTTTCTCATTCTGTTCCCCTCTTCCCTAAGTAACCCAATCTCTGGTACAGTTCCAGCTGAAAACAGGAGAAAACACTGAACACGTTTTCCGAGCTCTTCCAGACCAGATCCTATGGACTCTCCAACAAGCTCACTGTGTTTTCGTTTCTTTTCTTCTGGGTTAATTTTAAATGCTCTATTTAAAAAAAAAAAAAAAAAAAAAAAAAAAAAAAAAAAAAGAAAGAAAGAAATAAAATATTTTACTTTGTTTTGCCAATAAAGAGGACAGTTCAGGAAAGAAGGATTGTTTACAGTCTCAACAAGGACATACAAACCTCTCTGGATAACGAAGCATCATAGGGACTCCCTCATGGGACAGTGCCGAGAGCACACTCGGTTTCTGCTTGGCCCGGTTTTGACTGGTTGAAACCGGACTTAAGTTTTTAAATCTGATTTTTTTTTTGTTTGTTTTGTTTTGTTTTGGGTTTTTTTTTCTTCATAACCAGCGCTGAGGCACTGGCTGCACTTGCAGGGAAAGTGCACTTAGAGCAGTATCTTCATTCATGAAGCTACTTTTTAATTTGATGTAACTTTTCTTATAAGTTTTTTGGAAATATGATGTATCTGTTGCATAATAGTTTTCACATTATTTATGAAACTTAACAACCATATGAGAGTGATTTTGAGTCCTGTGCAATGAAGGTTGTAACGGTAAAACAAAGCTGGGAATGTAGATGTAGATCTCCAGGGTTGTGGGGTTATGCCCTGCAAATACCCCTCTCATGAGATAACTTGCACCTGTGTTTACCTCTTCTCTCTCTCTTTCTTTTCAATTTGATTTTATTTTAAACCAAAGTTTCTCTTTCTGATTTTTTTTTTTTTTTTAATTTTTTTTAGTTGCTGCTACTGCTTCTGGGCATGTCTCTTGTGCCGGTTCAGCGCCAACTTTCCGTGCAGCTGTGTGAAAGTAGTGCAGGTGATCCTAAGGCCCTTTTGAAAGGAGAGTTGGGTCCTTCCGACAGTGCAAAAGCTAGGTGAACAAAGGCTTCAGAACTTCATTCTCCAGACCAAAAAGTGTTTTTCAAAGCCTTAATAATCCTTAGATGGCATGAGTGCATCCCATGGCAAGCAGGGAGCTTTTCCTGGTGTTCTCCTGCGACCCAGCGCAGGAGAAGTGTGACAAGGGGAGGAGATAGTGGTTCCTGGGGGCAGG